CAGAATTTATAAGCAGAAAGGTAACAACCCTAAAACTAGCTGCTTCTTGTCGAATCTTTAATCAGTTTAAGAAAGAGACTGCTGATTAAAATGCAAAAATCCAGATTCCTTTCAAGTCATTGTCCCGAGATAATTAAAGGTTTTATCAATGTGTACAAGAGGTGACATCTCAGGTCAGACCATGCATTTTGGGTGTGAGGTCTTGCTTAGAATCTATCTGTGTTTTAAACTGGGGTCAGGTTTTTTTTTGAGCAAAACAATGTATCCGCAACTGCACAAACATCATAGAAGAAATAGTGTGTGTCTGTGTGTGTGTGTGTGTGTCTGTGTGTGTGTGTGTCTGTGTGTGTGTGTGTGTGTGTGTACGTAGGCGTGTTTGTGAGAGTGTATAGTGTATTGGGGTCACCTATAGTGCAACATGAACCCAAGATCACAATTGAGACCGTCCTCATGGGTATGGAACTTGGCTATCTGCCTCTGCTCAGCTATTTTGTGTTGTTGTGCATCTCAAAGTCCACCTTGGAGGATGCTTACCTGAAGATCGGAGGCTGAATGTTCTTGACCCCTGAAGTGCTCCCTCACATCATCAACTAAGAAGCGACCAATGCCAAGGCATTCTCGTGGTCTTCCTTGCAGAAGGGGTTGAGTAGAGGAGGAAAGATGTCTTACAGCCGTTGTACAGGGTCTTGGTGAGATCACATCTGGATTGTGAACTGCAAAGGTCCAAGAAAGCAAATCACTACCATCTTCACAAGGGCAGCTGTGCTTGGGCAACAAATATTGCCCAGCCAACAAAACCCACATACCCTGAATTAGTGAAAAAATAATATTTTAATCCCCTTACCAGAAAAAATTTATTTGCCAATGAGGGAGTGCAGCATCGTTGTTGTATGAGGAGTGAGCGGGTTGACTGGGCCTGTATTCATTGGCGTTTCGCAGAGTAAGAGAGAATTTCATTGAAACTACAAAGTGCTGACAGGATTAGACAGCCTGGATGGAGGGATGATGTCTTTCCCCGGCCAGGACAGGTCCAGAATAAGAAATCACATTCTCAGGATACATAATAGGCCATTTCAAACTGAAACGAGGACAACTTTTTTTCAATTAGAGGGTGGTGATCCAGTGGAATTCTCAAACACAGGTCTCTGAAGACCAAGTCACTGAATATGTTTAAGAAAGAAGTAAATAGATTTCTAGAGATGAAAGACATCAAAGGGTATGAGGAGAGCATGAGGGTGAGATGACATCAAGATGGACTAGAAGGTCAATCATGATCATGTCGAATAATGGAGCAGGCTCAGTGGGCTGAATGGCTTATGTCTGCACCTATTTTCCGTATTTTAATGTATAGCTGGAAAGGAGGATGTGAAAGATGTACTTCTTCTGTCTATGAGTAGCACAGGTGATGCAGTTGGTGCCTGTGCCCTTGAGAAATGCTAGGCTACCATACCAGATGGCTGTGCCCTGGTTAGCATTTGGAAATCCACAGATGTCACTTGTTAATTTTCTGGAGGATGTCCAGTCAGAGAGTTTGTGAGGTCACCGATCGTACTTTGTAGATGACAAAATCACCAATAATGTGAATGTGATGGTGCTGTACGTAAAGTACTGGAGCCATCCTCTGGCCAACTTTCCATTAAAGGCATGCAAAACGGCACACATTCTTCATCAAGTAACTAAACCTCACAACATCTCTGCAACTTTATCACAGTGGCTGGCAAGTATGTTGCAGTTGATGTGGTAGCAGTAGTGTGAAGTGGTTAAGGTCACAAAGACCTTGACTTCTTGAAGAAATGAGTTTGTCCTTGCTTGCGTTGTTGATGGGCTGCTTCATAGAACATTAGCAGTAATCTGATTCTTCCTCTGGATGTATTTCTTGACTATTATATTGTATGAGCTGCAAAGGGGAAAGATTTAAAAGGGACCTCAGGGGCAACGTTTTCATGCAGAGGGTAGTGCGTGTATGGAATGAGCTGCCAGAGGAGGTGTTGGAGGCACCTTTAAAAGGTGCCTGGATGAGTATATGAACAGGAAGGGTTTAGAGGCATATGGGCCGAATGCCGGCAAATGGGACTAGATCAGTTTAGGATATCTGGTCAGCGAACGTGTTGGACCAAAGGGTCAGTTTCCGTGCTGTCAACTCTATGACTCTGGATTCTGGGAACCACCCTTGTGAGCCTCTCTGTGCTGTACAAAGTTATCAAGGGCTTGTGGTCAGTTTCCAATTTGAGTCGTAGACCTAAGATATCAAAAGTTTCTCTCATCCCCAGAATGAGGCAAGTGCCTCTTTTTTAATGATGGCTTACATTTATTGTATGTCAGTAGAGTTCTGGAAGGGTAGTTGACTGGCCGTCTGCTCCCCCCACATTGGATCTGAAGTACGATTGCTCCCAGACCTGTGGATAATGCAGGGCTGCTATTAAAGTTGCAAGGACAGGGCTATAACGTACAAGTACTTTGGATTAAATGAGCAGGTCATTGATTTTGTAACACGAGTGCTGTTGATGCTCATTCCATTGCCATGCTTGATCTTGCTTCAAAAGTTGTTTGAGAGGCTTATTAACTTGGGCTAAGTGGGGTAAGAACTTTCCCACCTTGTTCACCATTCCTATGAACTGTTAAGAGTTCTGTAATATTCCTGGGTGATGGAATTGTCTTGTGGCATATCTCTTCTGTAAGTTTGCCATAATCCCTTTTGTCTGAACAATGCAGCCTAAAAATGTAACTATTGGGTTTGAGAATTCCTGCCAGTCATTAAGTGTCAACCCATATTCAGCAAGTTATTCAAGAGTCTCCTAACAATTTGTTATTATGTTGGGGTTTGGTGGGCCCATTGATGTAAATGTCATCTATGTGGCATATAACATTTCTAATATGTTGGACCTCATTCATTAGAAGATATTGTGAATAGCCAAAGTCTTTTCCCAAGGTAGGGGAGTCCAAAACGAGAGTGCATAGGTTTAAGGAGATAGAAAGAACTGCAGTTGCTGGAGTCAGAGTCAATGTAGTGTGCAGCTGGAGGAACACAGCAGGTCAGGCAGCATCAGAGGAGCAGGAAAGTTGACGTTTTGGTTCAGGATCCTTCATCAGGACTTCATAGGTTTAAGGTGAGAGGGGAAAGATATAAAAGAGACCTGAGGGGCAAGTTTTTCACATAGAGGATCATCCGTGTATGGAATGAGGCGGCAGAAGAAGTGATAGAGGCTGGTACAATTACAGCATTTAAAAGGCAGCTGGATGGGTACATGAATAGGAAGGGTTTAGAGGGATTTGCGGGCAAGTGGGACTAGATTCATTTAGGATATCTGGTCGGCATGGATGAGGTGGATTGAAGGGTCTGTTTCCATGCTGTACAACTCTATGACTCTATGACTCAATGTCAAATGCAAATATGATGCCAAAGGGCAGGCAGTTAAAACAATAATGTCCATTTGGTGTGTTGAATGTTATCAGTAGTTCAGAGATCTCATCTGGGGAAGTTGCTAGAACCTGCTATTCATGTCCAGTTTGCTGAAGATTTTTCAGTTTGCAAGCCTATCGCCTACAAATGTATCACTTATTAACTGATTTATTCCAAAGTCAAGACAAATGCTAAGAATCTGTTTAGTTTAAGAACTGGCGCCATAGTCAAACACCACATTATTGCCTGCATGACTTTTGAAATAATACCCTTCTGGAGAATGGTCTCAATCTCTTCTTTTATCTTGACTCTAAGTGGGTGTAGGATCTTTCTGAGTGTGAACAGGCAGATCAGTTTGGCATCTGCCTTCAGTGTGATATAACACACAGTTCTAATGTTTGGTTTTCCTCAACCTTTAACAGGTTTGGGATTTGCTGTCTAAACTCATTACTTTGTATCTGACTGAAAGCCACATCTACTTTTAAGGATATGCGCTATGCTACAGAACAATGAGCATGGCTGATTCTAAATAACATATAGTGTTTCAACAATTTGTCTTTTTGTCTTAATGTTGCCTGAAGCTGAACTTTGACCATGAAGTTGATTCCTCCTGATCCATGTATTGGATAATAAAGATTGCAGGGTGACCTTCTTCTGCTTTTTAAGGCTGTCGAACAGAACAGTGCCTGCAGTCCCTATGTTGTGGACATTGACAGCAATATCCACGCTCCGGTATTGAATACTCCGGTCCATAATTTCCCAGAGAAAAGAATTACTGCGCAGTTTATCTCTAAAAACAATTGCCTTGTTTCTTCCTAATGTAAGATTCTGTAGTGAGCTGGGTATGTTTTGACTGTAACCGTGGCTTTCTGTAACATGGGCAGGATTTCTTCCCAAATGTTGCACCATTTGTAAAATAGCTGTTGGCACTTTTTCTGCTCGATTTGTTGCTGCTGTCGTACTTTTTTGTTTTATTTTAACCCTCTATGGTAATTTCACACCTTTTCGGCCTGTCTTGTGGCCTGCAGCATTGTAAACAGCTTAGGGCAGAATTCATTGCTCACACAAGACATTGTCAGTTTCCTGAGGTGCTCTTTGTGTTGGGTGGCAGACTGGTATGGGTCTGTCACCACTGCCACCATGTTGCAATATGAGGTCAGCACTCTTAACAGGCATTATTAAGAATGACTGCTTGTAAGGCATGGTAAGAGAGGATATTGTGCTGGAAATTTACAGACTCGGGCTTCAGTTCAATGTAATCTGGAATGACTGTGACTTAGCTCCTTTTGCAAACGCTCAGTAGCTATTCTTAAGGTAAAGGTATAATTAACCTTTTACTCCACAGCAGGTAGTGTGTATTTAAGTTTAGCTTGAATAGGTGGATAAAAGAAGCGACATTTAAGGAATATGGGAATGGTGCGGACAAATGTAAATAGATTTGTGTAGAGGGTAATAGTGATATAGATTATAAGAAGTAAAGTGGGTAGAATAACGCCTTCCGTGTATATTTCTGTATGAGTTACTGTTCTGCATATCAACGGTTTGGTTTGGCAAAACATTTCCCGAATAACAAACCATTTATTGTCCTTCTTTCTGTTAGATCATTATCTTTGAAAATGGAGAACACCGAAAACATTAGCATGATCTCCCAAGTTGCAAAACGGCGTGTTGTGTCAAAAGATGGCCACAACAATGTGAAAATTGACCAAGTGGATGGCTGGGCCTTCCTTTACCTGCAGGATCTTTGGACCACCGTCATTGATATGAAGTGGCGTTACAAGCTAACTCTCTTCACGGCAACATTTGTGATTACGTGGTTCCTTTTTGGCATTCTCTGGTATGCATTAGCATTTGTACATGGAGATTTAGAGCTATTGCATCCCCCAGCTAACCACACACCTTGTGTAGTGAACATTGAAACTTTAACAGGAGCATTCTTGTTTTCCCTGGAGTCCCAGACGACCATTGGTTATGGATTCCGCTGTATCACAGAGGAATGTCCATTTGCCATTATCCTGTTAATCGTTCAGTTGGTCATTACCACCTTGGCAGAAATCTTCGTCACTGGTACTTTTCTGGCAAAGATTGCAAGGCCAAAAAAACGCTCTGAGACGATCAGGTTTAGCTACCATGCTGCCATTGCCATACACAAGAACAAGCTTTGCCTCATGATCCGGGTTGCTAACATGAGGAAGAGTCTGCTGCTTCAGTGTCAGCTTTCTGGGAAGTTCCTGCATAATCATGTCACCGAGGAAGGTGAGACCATCAAACTCAGGCAGGCAAATGTGAATTTCCAGGTGGACACTGGTTCTGAGAGCCCTTTCCTCACCTTCCCATTGACATTTTATCACATTATTGACGAGAAAAGCCCACTGAACAGATATGCATCGGCAACTCTAAGGGATAAAGACTTTGAGCTAGTTGTCATTTTAAATGCCACAATGGAGTCTACAGGAGCTGCTTGCCAGATCAGAACCTCATATGTGCCAGAGGAGATTCTTTGGGGCTATGAGTTTGTCCCTCTTATGTCGCTGTCCCCTAGTGGGAAATATCTGGTTGATTTCAGTTTCTTTGACAAACTTAGGAAGAGTTCCAACCCTTTCTTTTCCTCTGGAGCGCTGAGGTATGGGGACATTGATAAACTAAGACTTGAAGAAAAATACAGAGAGGACGAACGGAACACATTGTTCAGTAAGATTCCAACTGTCCATAGCAATGTCTAGCAAAACATTTGCACAGAATATATCAGCGTAAGGAAGTTTTTTAATCAATAAACAACTGTCTGGTACATACCGAGCCTTAAGTCTTACACATCAAAAGATTGCATTTAGTCAAAATCAATATTAGGTGGTTCCCAATGATCTTGTGTAACGAGCACTGTTAGTAATTATGTTAATGAAAAATGTATTATTTTTATTTGATTACTCACTTTGTCAAAACTGAATCATACGATCCATCCATCAATGTCTGTTGATGGAGGACTCTGGTTCCCAAACCCAAGAACTTTCTCTATTTTTCCCAAATTTCAAATGTGCCATTTTACTTGTTGTCTTCCTACTCCTTGCTTCCCTACTGCGTTAAAATCAAGATTCTTCACATTGTCTCATACTTTAATGTATTCTTTTCTGGAACCTCAAAATTGGGTAAGCAGCTCCCTCCCTCAATATTGACTTCCTCTTATAATTTACCACCTTTTAAAATCCATGGTAGATGTCACAAAACCCAACACTGGCTAGGCAGTCTGTTACACAGCTTCTAAGTTACAAAACAGAACTGTAATTTTCCATCACAAACAAAAACAGAAATTGCTGGAAAAGCTGAACAGGTCTGGCAGCATCTGTGGAGATAAATCAGAATTAATGTTTCAGGTTGAGTGACCCTTCCTCAGAACTCATACCCAGAACCCATGTAATTTTCCAAACCTGGATTTGTAATTAGTGTTATGGAGAAGGGGAGGTTAAATGAAAGAAAGTCCCTGAAATTCACTTTATAAATAACAAGTAACAATTTATTTTTTTAACACTAACAATAAACAAATTAACAGAACTACCAACAAACTGAACAATTCCCCCAAACTGCTAACTATTTCCTACCTGAACAAAATTCAACTGGTATGCTATTCTCCAGGACGTCCTCATTAATTAACTTATTTTAAGGCACGTCAAAACCCAAATCATCTGGATTTGATTCCTAATCTGAGGGGCAGTAACTAATACCTGCTTCTCCAGTTCCTTGTCCCTATCATAGTAAGGTTTCAGCATATTCACATGACATACCCGATAAAGTTTTTTCCTATCTGGCATCTTTACCAGATAATTCACCTAACTCAACTTCTCAATCCGATAATGACCACTAAACATTACTTTGAAGGGATCTCCTACCACTGGTAATAACACCTATACTTTATCCCCATAGGCAAATGTACAAATTTTAGATTTCTTTATCTGCTTCTTGCTTCATTAGATGCTGTGCCATCTTCAGATGTTGTCTAGCTAATTCACCTACTCTGTTTAATCTTTCTCTCACCTCAGATACATAATCCAACTGTGAGATGTCTGACTTCACATCTATCAACTTTCATTTCCATCCTTTTACTTTGGTTATCCTGTTTAATTTGCAACTTCTGAAGTTCAAACTCTCTCTCTTTCTCCCTCTCTTCTCTCTCTTTTTCTCTTTCTTCTCTCTCTTTTTCTTTTTGTTTGGCTAGAGCAATTCTTTCTTTTCCTTTTTCCTCTGCTTTTTACTGTAATTCAAACCATTTCAGTTCGCTTTCTTCCCCTTCCCCCCCGGCTCTTCTAACTCCAGTTGTCTAATTTTCAATTTAAGTTTTTCCAACTCCACTGCACTTGCCTGCTTCTCTAATGTACCTAAATGCGTGACCAACTCCATCACAATTTCAGCTTTCCTCTTATCCCTAGGTAAACCCAATTCTACCCTCTTCGCTAATTCTAAAAGTATACACTTCCTCTGTTTTTCTAAACTTTCTTGGCAAAGTTTGGGAAGCATATTCAAACCCCAGAACCTCTTTAGCAATGTTAAGAGCCATTTCCCACACTTTTGATTTAACCAACCACAAGTAACTGAAATTAAACAGATTTTTCTCACCTAAATTTTATTTAAACATCTAGGACACTAATCTCCCAAGTCTGTTTTAATCTGTCCAAATCTATTCAGATCCCGTAAACAAACCAGCCAGATTCCAGACTTCAGCCCCCAAACTGATACGGAGAAGAGAGGTTAAATGAAAGAAAATCCCAGATATTCACTTTATAAGTAACAAGTAAGAATTATTTATTTAATGCTAACAGTGAACAAATTAACAGAGCTACTAACAAACTGAACAATTCCCCCCAGCTCCTAACTATATCCTAACTGAATAAAATTTGACTGGTATGCTATTCCAATACACACAAGTCCCAATCATATAACCCAAGTAGTAAGAAAATAGATAAATTAAAAATTAGTCTCTCAAAAACCTACACACAATGTGTCTTTCAAAATGCGGTGCCTTCTCCACTGTCTCTCCAGTCATAAACACCTGTCTTCTGATGTTCTCAAGTGATAAATGCCTGTTTTCCGCTGTCAGGGATGTTTTCTCTGTGAAGACTCTTAGTTAGAAGTGCCATGGTACCTTTTATGGATAAGATGGTGCTTTCTTAGAGAGCTTAGCGATTTCTTTTGAGAGCTAGGTGCTTATTTCTCAGATGGCGGTTCGTTCTCATACCAATTTTCAAAAATCCTCTCCTTATATACCTTGGATGACATATCAATTTTCTTCCAATAGCATTGGTCCGAGGTTGTCAAAACCATCAGATTTAAATTCAATTGGCTTTCAATCGCTAAGTGCTTGGTTTAAATTCAATTGGCTGATGCCAGCTAGTTGCCAAAACGTCAAAACAAGTCTAAGGTTTCACACAGACAATTGATACATGTTTCCATTTTAGACCTGGCTGTACATTTTCAGCTACATACAGACACTTTTTTTTCTATGTAAATCTCTAAGTTTAGAAAAGCACTTTACCTCTTAAAGGAACCACACACTCTAGGCAACTTTGTAACATTAGCAACATACTGCTAATGGCTAATGGATTGGATTGCAATGATCTAACCACAATGTCTCGATTTACCTAACTGTTGGATTAACACTATTTAATCTTAACAGGGTGCCCTATACTTACGGAGATGAATTTTGTGGCTCCCATGCCAGGTATGTTTTTGCTGTTAATGAGTCATGTAAAATATGATGCATGGCTAACCCAGCACATCTACTCCTGATGAATTCCTCATAATAAGGTGTGGGTACACATTGCACCCAAGCCCACCTACCTGACCCTAGGCACATTGAGGCCCGTTACTGCTCCATTAAGGGGCAATTATGGGCATAATTCTGCTTCTGCTGCCATAATATGGTGGGGATGGAATTTGGACTGAATTGGGCAGGTTGCATTTTCATCAACCCTTGTGAAAAGGTGGGAATGAAGACGGATCCTTTTCTGTGGGAAGTCCCCCCCATGTCCAAAACCCAACTTCCTTCCCAACCCTGCCTGGGATGCCAATCACTCTTGCCAAAAATCTTGGACTTAGCTAGGCCCAATGTCCATGCTGGTTTCTTTTACAACTGCAAGAGCTTCCGACCAATCAGATTGGCTGGCAGTTCTCGAGAGTGGGGCTTCTTTTCACAGAGTGGAGGAAGCATCACACTGAGATTGTTAGTCCCCCCCCACCCCCACAACCCATATAATATCATTGTGGGGCAGCTGCTTTTAAATTCAGCCAGTTTACCCCCACCCCTCCATTAAATTCGCCGCACAATGTGTGGCCCATGTTGAATATTTCTTAATTGATTGAAAATAAATGTGATTTATGTCAGTGAATAGGTGAATTTTTAAAAAAAGTAATAGTTAATCCCATAGAAATAACTTTGGTTCTTATGGTGACATTTTGGTGGAACACATATTTGTTAAAGTCTTATATTGATCTTGATAAACAACTGATGCAACTAATTTGAATAACCTATTAGTGGCAGGTCATGCTGTTAATAACTGGAAAACATTTTACAGTTCCTTTAATATGTATGGTTACCGTTTACTTTTACATTTCTGTGAAACTGAGAGATTTATTTAATTACTTAATGCTTCCACCTATTTATGTCAATAACTAATAAACTAATTAATTGAAAAGATATGGAGAAATACTCATTGTGATCTGAGAAATGAAAGCCGAGTTATATGACAAGTTCTTAGTTAAATGTGGCCTTATCTTGCATTCCAAAGAAATACGAGAAAATGTAATCACCTGTGTTGCTATCATGAGAAGCAATACCTTGTATTTTGAGATAGTAGGAACTGCAGATGCTGGAGCATCTGAGATAACAAGGTGTAGAGCTGGATGAACACAGCAGGCCAAGCAGCATCAGAGGAGCAGGAAGGCTGACGTTTCGGGCCTAGACCCTTCTCTAGGCCCGAAACGTCAGCCTTCCTGATCCTCTGCTGTTTGGCCTGCTGTGTTCATTCAGCTCTACAATTTGTGATCCCTTGTATTTTGATGTGCCTGTGTATGTTATTGTTTGTTCCTCAATGCTGGGCTACTTTGTTTAAAACAAAAGGCAAGTCTAGTTTATAAGTAGTGCACATTACTGTTTGTGGGTGGGGTTGTTGGGTGGTGAGACTTCTGATTTTGGATGATAAACGAAGTAGGTATTATTGGCTGGACCACACATTAAGCAATGCTCCTGGTCCCCATTTCTGTTGACCTAATGTCAGTAGAGATTTTATGCAGCCAGGCTGAGTCAAGATTATTTGTTTTAGAGTCAAAAGCTTAAAGTCAAAATAACCTAGTTTAACTCTCTACAGCGTGTTTTGCTTTGGATCACAACACCCAGTTTCTAATGGTGCAATATGGGACAAGCATTTACTGCATACTGCTATTTTTGGTATTAGGAGTGGTTGCAAAACATACAAGCACCTTTTACTGTCCGTTATGCTGTTTACACAGTAGAAGGAGAAATATTGAGATTGAGCTGATGGATTGGAGTGGTACTTTGTACAAGAAAAGATTTACAAGGAATAACACAGTGTGGAGCTGGAGGAACACAGCAGGCCAGGCAGCATCAGAGGAACAGGAAAGTTAACATTTTGGGTCGGAACCTTTACTTTTCTGAAGAAGCATCCTGATCCGAAACATCAACTTTCCTGCTCCTCTGATGTTGTCTGGCCTGCTGTGTTCCTCCAGCTCCACACTGTATTATCTTTGACTCCAGCATCTGCAGTTCTTACTATCTCTAAGATTTACAAGGAAGTTGTTGGGGTTCGAGGGTTTGAGCAATAGGGAGAGGCTGAATAGGCTGGGGCTATTTTTCCCTGGAGTGGAAGCTGAGGGATGACATTATAGAAGTTTATAAAATCATGAGGGGCATGGATAGGGTGAATAGCCAAGATCTTTTTCCCAGGGTAGGGGAATGCAAAATTAGAGGGCAGAGGTTTAAGGTGAGAGGAGAAAGATTTAAAAGGGACCTAAGGGGCAACATTTTCATGCAGCAGATGGTGTATGTATGAAATGAGCTGCCAGAGGAAGTGTTGGAGGCTGGTACCAATATAACATTTAAAAGGCATCTGAATGGGTACATGAATCCGAAGGGTTTAGAGGAATATAGGCCAAATGTTGGCAAATGGGAATAGATTAATTTAGGATATCTGGTCAGCATGGATGAGTTGGACCAAAGAGTCTATTTCCACGCTGTATGACTCTATGATTATAAATATCAGTGAGAAATCAAGTATAGCTGGGTAAGTCCAATCCTACATCCTGCAGCCTTGTAACCATGACACTGTCCATCTTGCAGTTTCAGGTGTTAGAAGTTAAAGTTAGAGTGTGTGTTTTAAAATATAAATTAGGTTATTGAAACAGAGGTTATTCTGAAGAGCACAAATAGCCCAATGACAGAATTATCCCTGCTCCTGCGTGCATTGTCTTGTGAAGGCATTTAGAATGTTTTGATACAGATTACGATTTATAGCACAGACGAAAATCCTTCCAGTAATTCCTTGCCTGAAAGTATAAGTGTGATTTTGCTACAAATAGTGACCAGAGCAACTCATTCAGAGCCATTGAATCAGAGAGATGCACAGCAAGGAAACAGATCGTTCGGTCCAACTTGTCCATGCCAACCGGATATCCTAAATTAATCGAGTCCCACTTACCAGCATTTTACCCTTCCAGTTCATATCCTGATCCCGATGCCTTTTAAATGCTTAAATTGTACCAGCCTTGACCACTTTCTCAGGCAGTTCATTCCATTCACATACCACCCTCTGTGTGAAAAAGTTGCCCTGAAGGCCCCTTTTAAATCTTTCCCCTCTCACCTTAAACCTATGCCCTTTAGTTTTGCACTCCCCCACCCTGGGGAAAAGACCTTGACTGTTCACCCTATCCATGCCCCTTATCACTTTATAAACCTCTATAAGGTCACCCCTCAGCCTCCGACGTGCCAGAGAAAATAGCCCCAGCCTCTTCCTACAGTTCAAACCCTCCAAACCTGGCAACATCCTTGTAAATCTTTTCTGAACCCTTTCAAGTTTAACAACATCCTTCCTATTGCAAGGAGACCAGAATTGAATGCAGTATTCCAATAGTGGCCTAACCAATGTCCTGTACAGCTACAATATGACCTCCCAACTCCTATATTCAATACGTTGACCAATAAAGGTAAGTGTACCAAATGCCTTCTTCATTACGCTGTCTACCTGCAACTCCACTTTCAAGGAACCATGAACCTGCACTCCAAGGTCTCTTTGTTCGGCAACACTCTCAAGGACCTTATTATTAAGTGTATAAGTGTTGTTCTGATTTGCCTTTCCAAAATGCAGCACCTCACATTTATCTAAATTAAACTCCGTCTGCCACTCCTCAGCCCATCGGCCCATCTGATCAAGATCCTATTCTACTCTGAGATAACTTTTTTTGCCATCCACTACACCACCTAAGGATTTATTTAATAACAAACAAATATTCTGATTGATAGCTAACTGATATTGGGTATGATATGTTCCCTTGTGGATCATCCAGGACTTCTTTTGAAGATCTCCATGTTTTGTTACTATTGAACACATGCAGATCTTCAGCAGATTCATATTCAGATTCAACCTGTCCATGGAGTTGTTAATTCTGTATTACTTATTGTGACGTTTCTTAGTCTGTTCATTCCTTTTTTTTTTCTCCAGTACTATTAGGGATGGGAAATAAATGCTGGCCTAGCCCAATCACACCTACCTCCCTACTGTGAATTTAAAAAAAAAATGTATTTCTATTCCTGTCTGAGTACTGTGCGACCTTTGATCAACTTACAAATTATAGCTTAGAAGGTTGTAAAACTAGCTCATATATTACTTGGTCTCATTTAAAATGTTATCAGTGCATTCCTGATCTTTTATGCCATAAAAGAATGTTGCCCCTTTAGTTGCATAGATCTACTTAAGTGCCTCTTTGCATGTAAAGACATTGGGCAGAATCTTATCAGGCTCTGGGTGACATGGGCAATTGAGTGGTAGAGTCAAACGAGATGTTCAGTAAGGCGCATCTCAGTCAAGACTATCTCACTGTATCTTGTGTGCTTTTCCTAAGTGGCATGGTGAGATTCTCACTCGGTAGAGATGGATTGCCAATTAGTGATCATTATTATTGCTTGTTAGATGTCTTGTTAACAATTCAACTCACCAGAGGTTGCAATCTGACCAAACTTGCCAAGCGAACTAGCTGTCAGGAAAACTCAATGTGGAAACCATAGCACGTTCTTTATGGATTCAATTCACCACTTGCTCCCAAAGACCTCCATATTGAACACGATGCGTAACACCTCAGCAGTTTCCATGGGCACAAGCCACATGAGCCTCATGTCCACGGACTTTGATATCCAATCTGTGAACGCTTACAACACATGGCACATCCACCTATGCACCACTTTTGTACTTCAATACTACATCTCGGGCTACACCGACAATTATCATCGTAAAGATGTAGCAAGGACACTGTGCACTCATGGAGATGTACACTGCTCATGGATTGGACCAGGTTGTATATATAGGTCTCACACTCCCTGTCATAGCTCTCACTCACTCGAAACCTATCTGGATGCTCGCAGCACCCCTGCCTCTTGTTGCTTTGCCATTTTGAGAATTTCCACCTCAGTCAGATATACTAGGCTTGTGTTACTGCTGTCTGGCTATTGCTTCAGTACGGTCACCAAGCCAGGAAGTGTGTCTTAGTTATCAGCAGTCCAGTCCAGGGAGGTAGCCTATGCTCAGGGGATCCCAGCACTGTAAGTCAAGAGCAGCCTCCAATGCCAGGACAGGCCTAGGACAGTCACATAACGGGTGAGGAGCCAAATGACAAGCAGCACACCACCCACCTTGACTCTTTCTCCTCTATTATGGGCTGTTTATCTCCTGGAGTGAGAGAGAAGCAGGTATTATGGGAGATGAAATTCGGTGGCACAGCTATAACTCTTGGTGCAGCTGGAGAGGTGTCCTGACTGAGTGGTTAGGCAGCTCCGAGGTTAAGCAGGTTCTCTGATAACAGGAGTTGAGGTGGCTGAGGGTGAGTGGGGAAGATGTAATCACTAGTGAGAGTGATAGAGCATGAGCCTTGGTGGGAGGTGGGGACAGTAGCAGAGATAGAGTGAGTATAAGATACTGGAGACAAATGCAGCACCAACACTGGTGGAATGGAGAAAGACATTGGCCTTCATTTTACAGTATTGGCATTCATCCAGACAGTAAAGACTGTTTCAACAGGGTGGACGAGGCTGGCATAGTCTGGTATCATGGCCTTCACTGCTGGTCCTGGGGAAAGATGAGGTCCTGTCTGTGCGCACTGGCAGGTTGCTGATGTCCCACAATCTTCCATGTCAACACACATCTCAGGAACCGTGCAGGAGAAAACCTATTCAGCCTCCCAGCTAGAATCACTTCACCAAACTCAATGTTTTTCATGTTATTCATTTTGTGGGATGTGGGCATCACTGGATAGCCAGCATATATTGCCCATCCCTAGAGACCCTTGAGAAGGTGGTGGTGAGCTGGCTTCTTGAACCGCTGCAATCCACCTGCTGTAGGCTGACCCACAATGCCATTAGAAAGGGAATTCCAGGGTTGTGATCCAGCGACAGTGAAGGAATGGTGATATA